TGTAGAGGATGTTAGGGTGATTGTGAAGGTTGCCAATACAGTTTCAAGCTGACTGGAGAAGCACTGAGAACTCAACTAAGGCTGTTTAAACAGAGTCCTGACAATACAGCTACACTTTCCTTGTCACTTTGTCATTCATTTTTCCTTGCTATCCTTTTGCTTTCCTCCCATAGTCTGTTCACCCACTCTTTTTTTCTTCTTACACACCCCCATACCCACTGACACACATGCATACAGAGCAAGTCCTTGAGATTAACCACAATATGATTACATTTTAATTGAGGCCAGATTAGTGTGGGGACATCCTTTTAACTCAGGAGGCCTCAATTCCACAGAACCATAATGAACTAATAATGAATGTGCTAAAGTCATTAAATCAAAATTCATAAAAGGGTGAATATTGCTTTCTTTTATAATAAAGCAATTAAAATCCCATATACTATAATAGATACTACTGAGGTGAACCAAGTGTTATTTAAGGAGGTTAGTGTTTCATGCCACATCACATGAATTTGGGAAACTTTGCAAAACAGGACTGCTATACAATTAACAGATGATCAGAACCCCTTTCATGTCAACTGTGGTTTAGCATTATTGCCCACTGTAAGAAACACTGACATTATTTGATTAGTAAGGTTGTAAAATTAGCTCATTTTAATGAATGAAGATTTACAGTGTGAGCAACTCACTTGCAGTTACTGCAGCACTGTATCATTAGAGACGCACATCCCTCTATTCTACTTAAGTTCTTAGATGTGTCCCTTCATTATCATGTCACCTAGATGGCTCACATGCACTGTTCCTTCCTGCCTAATAATCCTAAATTGTAGCTATACCAAACTAATCTTATTCAGTGTTTGGACAGGAGACATCCAAGAAAAAAAAAAAAAAAATGAAAATCCTTATATTCTAGGGTAAAAACAGATGTTAGATCTCTCCTGGGACAAAGACTTTTATCCTGAGAACCATAAAGACTTACGAACCCATTGTTCCAGACAGCACAGACAGTCAAAAAGCCTGAGGCTGAATCTATTCAATCTTTGCAGGTTAGTTTAAACTGCGTAGATTGAATTGATAAGCAAGTGAACAGACATTTATTTTGATTCTGGAAATGCAGTCACATGCCTGCAGTGGCCCAGGGCAGAAGCTGGGGAGTGCTAAACTAGCCCTCTGCTCAGCTGAAGCAGACACTTTGGGCCAAGTCTAGCCCACACACCCGGTGAGGGGTGGTTTGCGGGTGGAGGGGGGTGCAAAGCATCCTGAGATCCTGGGGGACTGAGTTAACTTGAATCTGGAGGTGGTCTAGGACAGCAGCTCAATAAACTGATTTAACCTAAATCAGTTAAGTGTGATACTGCTTCCATGCAAATTTATCTTAAAACAGTTTCAGCCATTTTGAAAGTGGTTTATGTGCACTAAACTTTTGTTGCGTTACAGATGTGTAGTGGTTTCTTATCGCTTATACCAGTTTGTGTATAAATTCTGTCCCTAGCCTTTAAGTATCTTTAAGGTATCTGAGATTATACTTTTTATCCAGGACAATTTAAGCTAATTCAAGTTAATTGCCAGGGACAAGGGACAAGGTTAATTCCAGGGACAAGGTATATGTGAAAAGGGCTATCACTTGCTCCCAAGCTTTGATTCAGATCAGTCAGAAATGCCTTGAATGCAACTTCTGTTTTTACCCCTGCTATTCCTGCTCCTTGTATAGCATTTTCCTTGCGCATGAGGAAGAGAGTGCAAAATATGCAAGAGAGTAGAAAACCAGTCTTGGCAGATGCTGGAGAAAGAGGCACAGGGGACTCAATGGGTGGCCTTCTTTGGTCTGATGTTCTGCTCTTAGCGGGGTCTGTGGAATGCTATTAGGAGTAGCTGGCTACTGATGAGGGATAAAATGAAGATCCTGACTTCTTGGGTCAGACCAAAGTTTGCATAGTTCTTTGGACAACAATAGAGTTTTTTGGCCCAGACTCATGGTGAAGTTGCAATGTGGGTAACAGAATTTTATGTTTCATCTGGCAGCACATAGAAGCCACTTCATCCAGCAATATATTGCTGTTATTTTAATTCTAGAGACACCTTCCTGTTCTAACATGCTAAGCATTGTACAATCACATAATAAGAGGAAATCCCTGCCATGAAAAATCTGATCGTCTACACAGGTAAAGGTTAATGGTACTATTAGAAATACAGAGAGACTAAGTGATTTTCCCAAGGTCAGACAAGTTAGCAGCAGCAGAGTCAAAAATGTTAACCATTTCAGTTCACTGCCTGATGTCCCACTCTGTGGGCGCATCTGCACATGTAATTAATGCACATGAATAAACACTGGAGCTTATTGCTCCAGAGTTTATCGCTCCCATGTGCACTATTTGAATGTGTGCCCAAGACCACAGCATGTTGAGCTAGGTCAGAGCAGCCTTGGCTGGCAGGGAGCCTGTGGGGCAGCCTGCCAGCCCAGGGCTGCTCACCCCCAGCTCAGTGTGCTGCGGAGGGGCTGGCTGGGGCAAGAGGGTGCTACAGTGTGGAGCTAGCTGGCAGGGACCCCCTGCACTGAAGCACCCTTGTGTCCCAGGCAGCTGGGGCAGCATCTACATGTGTGTTGCTATGAACAAAAAAAAAAAAACAAAAACCCACAGCAGGATAGTACTTACGTTTATAAGTACTACCATGCTGCAGAGTTAATTAATTTACTCCAGCCTAATAGGGGTGCACATGTAGACGTGCGATGTTTACTGCACAGCTAACTAGCCTACTGTATAGTAAACATCCTGTGTAGACACTCCCTATGCTACCTTCTTTGGGCTTCTCTTAGATTTGACAATGCACCAAAATATTCGCATCTAATGCAATTCAATGCCATGCATATATTTCACCTCATCAACAAACATTTCTCTTTTTAAAAGAGAAATTACAAAAAATAAATACTAGAAAGTTTAACTCTGGAATAGGGGGAAAAAAGAATGAATGGAAGAGCTGTTTCCAGGATGTATGCCTGTGTTTGCTTACATGTGTAAGAGACTGACAGAAAAAGAACTGTTAAATAGTACGTGATGGAGTAGGGGATTATATGGAGAACATGATATAAGAACAAGCAGATTAAAGGAATACTAAATATTTATAATAAAGTCCTTCATGCCATATGTAATAATACATACTGTATAGCTGCCACTAAATAATACAAGGAAGGAATTCAACTGCAAGCTCACGGAGATTGCTCTATGAATTGGATAAAATAGAATTAGAGGCTTTTATCCACTGGGGACCACGCGTTGCTATTCATAATAATCAGAATAGGAGAGGAAATAGCACAACCATCATTGTAACTGCACAAGTTGAGATACATTATAAGGTCCAGTTTTTTTTGTTGGCTTTCTACCAGCACACAAATGGGTAGAGATGTGTTGAACAAAACTGCAGCCCCTCAATACTCAGAATCTAAGTGCTACTTTAGTGGCTGAATACACCCCCCCCCCCCCCCCCACTCCAATCGACTGTCTTTTCACTGATCTCAGTGTACCTTTTTGCATCATCTCCCTCGAGTGGCTGGGTCAAATAGTAAAAAAAATGGTCGGCCTGCTACAGTTGGTTGATAGAGCTTGCATAGAGGGTAAGTACGCTGAGCTGAAGGACTAGGGTTCTGAGCTCAGCTCTGCAAAAGCATGTGGATGTGGATGTGGATGTGCAAGAGAGACTAGACAGATACTTGGATCTGTTGGCCATAGAGCAGGGTTTTTTCCAACTGACATCCTCAGAGGGAGCAAAATGCTGATGCTGCAAACTAGTGCCATAAATAAAGGCAGCTCTGGCCTTGGAGGTAGAACTCCTGGCACAGCATGGCAAATTCTGGTCCCCTTTACAAGGGTGTGACTCAGATTGCAATAGCATTAGTTTAGATTTCCACCAGTCATCAGCAACAGCACAATGTGAGCCAGAGCCACACTGAAGCTCTTAAGCTTTTGTGGCTCTTCAACTTCCACCTATGTATCCAGGCTGCTTTCTGCCCCCATCAACCCAATATCTAAGCATCCTTGTCCTGAGACAAGTCGGCCCTATATTCAGAATTCTTACCTGTGAACAATATTGAGTCTCTTTCGCTCTGCCCTGCTGGGGCCACACTCATATCGCCTCCCTCTCACAGAGGCCTCTCACTCAGGCTCTTTCATCCCGCCCTTCCTGGGCCTCACGTGTACTGGAGGGTCCTCAGGCTTGCTATGCTTTGCTCCCCAGCCAGCAAGCATGCAGGCTTTTGGGCATCTCCTACTATCCTCATCTGAGTGAGCACTGGGCGGTTCATAAAATGCTGTGCTAACTCTGCCCCTGGTCTTGTAGCTGGGTAGCTTCCCCTGCTGCTCTCCATCAAGGAATTGATGGCTCACCACTTGTTCTCCTCACAGCTCCTCTTCTGCTGCCCTCCAATTGGCCTCCAGCCCACCTGTAGCCTCAGGCACCCAAAGGCTTACCTGGACCTAACTCAGGCCCCCATGCTAGAAGAGCCCCCACTCAAGCCCCAGCCCTCAGGGCCCCATATCATGCCCCTCACTCACTGGGTTTCACCACTGCCACTCTCTACTCCACCCCAGACTCTAGGGTCTGGGGTTGAACACTCCCCGCAGACTCAGGTGCCACAACTTGCTCCCTCTCATTAGGGCCTGAACTGCTGGTGCCCTCTCACAGCTCTAACTACTCCTCTCATGGGGGCTTCCACCCTTTCAGGCTCAGTCCTGCACCCCCTAATGGGCTCAGGTGTCCCCTATGTACATCCCTGGCCCCACTACTCCATCTCTAATTGTATCATGTAACCCACCAGGTGGTGGGGGCAGGGGTTATTAAGGTGCTCCACCCCACTTTTCACCAGGATGGTCCTTGAACCTGGCATTTCCTGGCCCTGCCCCACCACAGGGAAGACTACCAGGCCTCCCTATCCCAACAGGCTGCAGTTTTATATCATGCTCAGGACCAGGAGCCTCCAAGCCATCCCCTTAAGCTCCTGCCCTTACCTTGTAGTTGTACTCGGAGCAGCCACTTCTCCAGGAGATGTTACTTCCATGAAGTCTGGCAGCCAAATGCGGCCTCCAGCCCTGCTGGTCTAGGAATTAAGATGACTATTTGTCAGGACTGGGCTACATCTGCCTGCTGCCTGATCCAGATCTTGAAGTTGCAGAGCACTTTAAGGTGTTCTGACACCCACCTTCCCCCTTACAATGTTTACTAGGGAAGGCTTTTCCCTGATGCTCAGAAAAACAGGCTCCCCCAGAGTCTGTGATAGCCCTGAAGTGGCGAGCACCCCACTGGTGCTCTGCTACTCACCTCCCCCCTAAAACTGACTCCTCAGGGTGTCTCTAGGCTGTCTTCCATACAGGTACTCCTCCAGTTTGCTGCAGCATACACTCTGTAGCGAGCATGCCACTGGTGCTGCACCACGCATATAAAATCTGGCCTCCGGACTTCAACCCTTGCTCACTGACTTCTGAAACACTAGAGGTGGGGGGGGAAGAGGTGACCACCAGATTGTTAAGATGCAACTAACTTTTAATAGCCCAGTTCCTCTGCATTTCCATCAGCATGGCTGAAAGCAAAATCAAGACCCCTTTTTGAACATACAGCATTACCTAAAATGCCCTCCAAAATGAGATTTCTATTTTTTTTTTGTACATCATTAGTCAAACCCCAGTCTCTCAAGAATGCCTTCTTTTTAATATTTTTTTTTGGGGGGGGGGGGGGGGGAAGAGGACTGGAGAAGGATGAGTAGGGAAGTACGGAAGGAAGTCATTGCAAGGTGAGAATTTGTATGCTTTCAGACCATAGGTCAGGGATGGGCTATTATTTTGACTGGAGGGCCATTTAATGAGTTGGTGAGCTGTTGAGGGCCACTAGGGTAGGCCCACCCCTTGGGAGATGTCCACCCTTGGTCACCAGCTTGGGACCAGAAGTCCCGACCCTCATCCCTAACCTTTGCCACCAGAAGTCCCTCCCCTTGTCCTGCTAGAAGTACTCCTTTTGGGAGGGGAGGGTTGCCATCTTGGAACCAGAAAAAACCAACAAATCATATACTAAAAGCCAAACACCTACTATAACATATTTTAATCTAAACTTTATTAAAAAAAAATTGTCATGATTTGTGTTTGCATATTGTATATAGAAGTGTTTGAATAGTAACTAAAAAATAAAGTCTTACTCTTTTATGCTGTGTGTGGGGTGCGGTAGGGCTATGGTTGCATGTGTGTGGGGGCAATAGGGTATGCAGGGAAGGTATACAGGTGGGGGTGTGTGGAGATAGGGTGTGGGTGTGTGGCATCGGTGGGGTGTGAGGGAGGGTGGGGGAGTGTGGGGACCCCCCCCCCCCCCCAAACCCCCCGCACACAGCCCCTGCAACTGGTGGCAGCAGTAGCAGCAGGCAGATTCTTGGGATGCTTGTGGCCTGTGCAGATGCTGCCACCTGGCAGTGCATGGCTCTGGCCACTGCTGCACATGGTGGCAAAGAGTGCAGCCAGGCCAGCCCATGGTTTAGTGTGCCACTGGGGAAGCCCTGCATTATGAAGCCAGCAACCTTTGTTACTCCCTCTTGTGCAGGTCCCGGGACTCCACTGGGAAGCCGGAGGCGGGGAAAGCAGTCAGCTTCCCCCAGTTGCATGTGAATGCCAGGAGCTGCATGTGCACTGCATGGAGCCCTGCATGAAAGAGGTGGGCTGGCCTGCCTGGCTACGCTCCTTGCCACCACATTCAGCCCTGACCATGCACCCCTGGGGGGCAGCACCTAAGCGGGTCATGAGCACCCTGAGCACCTGCTGCTTGTTGCTACTGGCAGTGAGGGCTGTGTGCCATTGGAGCGAGTGTGATGGGGGACTCCACCCCTCCTGCCACCCTCCCTCACTCCTATCCTCTGCCCACCCAAGCTCCATGCTCCCACTACCTCTGTGACAGGGGGTAAGCTAGGGGCTGGGTCCCATGCCAGGCCACCCACCTGTCTCTGTGGGGCAGTTCACCCCATCTTTCCTGCCATGACTTTGCTGTTCCCATAAATGGATGGTAAATGTGGGAGATTGCCCATTACATGCCCCAAGGCCAGGGCTCCGCCCTTCCCCACACCACAGCCCATGACTCGCAGATGGCATCCACATGATGTTCTTAGCCCACACCACAACTGGTACTCCAGGGTCTCAAGGGGACTCTCACTCCCCCCCGGAGCAGCAGGTCATTGTGCTCAACTACAGGTCTTACTTTTATCCCACACACAGCCTCCTTACCATGGAGGACTTACTGGGGTCAGGACTCACCCCTAACTCTCTGGCTGGGCCCCCTACTCGGCCTCTGGCCCAAACTACAGCTTCAGGCATCCACAACCCTGCCTTGGCCTCCTACCCACATATGGGGTTCCTACTGTGCTCCCTCTAGGGCCCCACCCTGGGGTCTTCTCATCTTCATGATCAACTATTCATGGGGCTGGCCCTTGTGATGCCCTTCAGGCTTACTCACGATTTGGCCCTATTCGGTGCACCACTGGGACTGCCCTTCAGGCCTACTCCTATTCAGCCCTACAACTACACTCCTCACGCTACCCCCTCTGGGGTCTCTAGGATCTCACATCTCTGCTGGGCTCAGGGGGCACTCTGCTTGCTGTGCCTGGCCCCAGTACTCCCTCTTCCCAGGGTCTTACACGCCCCTCATGGGGTCAGGTGGCTGCAGCTGTGCCTGGCCCCACTACTGCCTCCAAAGCCCACCTGAAAATGGGGGCTGGGGTTAATGCACTCCTCATCACCTTTCACCAGGGGGGTAACTGGCCTGGCACTTCCTGGGGACTCCCCCTCCACCAGGCCACCCATCCTTGGCAAGGTGTAGTTTTAGGTCATGCACAGGACCAAGAGCCTCCAGCTCCTACCTGCTAGATGTTCCACGCAGCTCAGCCAGGCGATGTTTCCACCTGGGCTTCCAGCAGCGAACTGCTGTGTTTATATAGGCAGCCAGTGTTCTAAAATGGCTGCCACAATCAAGCACTTGCTGGCTGCCTGACTCATCTCTTAAAGTGGCAGGCACTGCAAGTGCACTGCCACAGCCCCCCTGGGTACAGGCTCTGTCCTACCACCAGCCCCAGCCCCATGCTCCGTGTTCCCGCCCAGCTGCAGCTCCCCTCTGCCCCCACCCCTGCCACTTCCCTACCTGTGGTCCGGGGTGAGCCGGATGCTGGGGAAGTTCCCTGGCGGCTGCGAAAGTGGCAGCAGCAGCCCTGCCTGGAAGCTGCATGCTGGCTGTGCTGGGCCCTTCCATCCACAAGGGTGGGAGCGAGGCACACGGGCTAGGTGGTGTACAATTAGTTGGTGAGTGCCCACAGGCTGGATGAAATTGCTTGGTGGGCTGGATTTGGCCCATGGGCTATACTTTGCCCAACTTTGCCCTAGGGGGCCATTATCCATACAAAACTGTAAATGATAAGATGTTATCACAGAAATGCCAATGTATAGTAATTGCATGGGAAGAGTTAGAATTATTCTCTAACACTGTTATGAAAGCAGGGCTACTGTTCTATCCATGGCACATTATGGACCAGATTCTCAACTGAAATAAAACAGTAAAAAGTTAACAAAACTATACTCCTTTATAGTAGCAGAGCTGAGGCTATGGAATACTAGTATGCATACTGTGCATACATAGGGGTATACACTGAATCCATGCTATTTAAAATAAAGGGTCAAATTCTCTGTTGGCACAACTCCACTGAAGTCAAGGCACAGAAGGAAAGAATCTGAGCTATTGGCTTTTAACCCAATGAATATTCTCTTTTCAGCATTTTATTCCCCATGTATGGATCTTCCCCTGGCACCTGCAGAAGTTATCGAGAGACATCCCTCAAAAACTGATGAGAGAATAGATTCCTTTGAGTATTGCATTTCCTATGCTCTCTCATACATGCTGAAGGACAGCTTAGCTGATTCGCCACAGGAAACCCAGGTGCTGAATTCATCTAACAAGCTGCTTAAAACTCTAAACAGATGTTTCTGCATCTTTTCTGCTTCTCAAGCTGTCTGTGTGGAAGCACCGGCAGATTTACAACAGAACAGATGTAGGAACCATACATGCTCTAACATCAAGGGCCTGAGTCACTGGAAAAATGGTTTATGACTATTGTATGTGCACATAATTAGAGCCAAGCACCTTTGGGACCAAAAAAAAAAAAAAAAAGGCGCAACATTATCCATAACAGAAGTGTAGACTGACCTGGATAGATAAAAATTATACTTATCTATCCAGGTCGATCTGAATTTCTATTAGTGGAGATAGCAAAATACACCAGAACTGAAAATTATGCCTGCCTCAGTCTGTCTACTAGACAGTGTGTGACTCATGAAAGTTTAGGTTGGGTATTTATTACTCATGCTGGATCTTGTTTAAAGCTCACTGAATAAATGGAATGACTCATTGACTTCAATGGACGTGTTACCAGGTTCCATAACCCTTCAAAGACCAGAAGAATCGTAGACAGATCAACAAAGAGGAGGAAAGCTCTCAGACAGACTGGAGGCAGAGGAGCCAATTCCGATTTCAACTAAGTCCCCTTTACAGCTCAGTTCAAATAAGAGTCAGACAGGAATAGCAAGTAACTAGGGGCGTGTGTAGATGAAACGAGGGGCATGTGTGCACAACACTTTAAAGTGGGTTAAATGCTTTTGTACTGCTTTAATGGTACTGGTGTTTGCATGTGTCAGCGACATGTTGAGCATTAATTCCAGCCGCTGTAGCACATTCGGTGGCATAATGTGCCTTAAATGACTTTGGGGCACAGCAAACTAAAACAACTCTGAGGAGTTTTAGTTTGCTGCCCTACAGGTGTAGAGTGAAGCACTGGGCTCCATGCGGCTCAGAGACTGTGCAGGCAGCCCGTGCAGGCAGCCTGGCAGCAGCCTAGGAAGGCAGGCTCCAAAAAAAGTGGTGAGTCTGATATATATATATATATATTTTTCCCCCCCTGGAGCCTGACTGTTTGCATGTGTTGCATGGGGACCTGGTTCTTCCCTCCGGCAGCTGTGGTCCCCCCCGGGACTGCCCAAGCCAGGTGCCTATGGGCGGGTGGAGCCTGGGGTGGGGGGGCCCACTACTGCCGCAGAGGGAAGCACCAGCCTCTCCCTTCCCCCGCAGTCTAGGGACCACTCTGCCCACCGGCAGCTTGCCCTTCCCTCCCTCTGCAAGAGAGGCAGGTAAGTCATGGGTGTATACGACATTGGGGTTTACTTCGCCCTAAACTGAAGCAGTGTTTTTAAAAACCTACCGCTTCAATTTAGGGCCCCCATTTCGTCTACACACATCCTAGACTTGCAGGCTGAAGTATGCAAATCCCATCCGTGTAACATTCCAAAATCGTGAGTTCACCTTAAAACCATGAGATTGTTGTAACTAATCCATTTGGGAATTGCTCTC